AGGGTTCGTACCAGGTGGGGTTAGGTACCCACAAGAGCCTTATAGAATAGGGTTCGTACCAGGTGGGGGTAGGTACCCACAAAAGCCTTATAGAATAGGGTTCGTACCGGGTGAGGGTAGGTACTCATCAGAGCCTTATAGAATAGGATTCGTACCAGGTGGGGGTAGCTACCCACAAGAGCCTTATAGAATAGGGTTCGTACCGGGTGGGGGTAGGTACCCATCAAAGCCTTATAGAATAGGGTTCGTACCAGGTGGGGGTAGGTACCCACAAGAGCCTTATAGAATAGGGTTCGTACCGGGTGAGGGTAGGTACTCAGCAGAGCCTTATAGAATAGGGTTCGTACCAGGTGGGGGTAGGTACCCACAAGAGCCTTATAGAATAGGGTTCGTACCAGGTGGGGGTAGGTACCCACCAAAGCCTTATAAAATAAGGTTTATACTAGATGAGGGTAGGTACTCATTAGAATCCAGCAAAACGCAGATTCGTACCAAGTGGGGGTAGGTACTCACCAGAGCCTTACAAAAAAAAGGTTTATACCAGATGAGGGTATGTACTCATCAGAATCTAGCAAAATGCAGATTCGTACCAGGTGGGGGTAGGTACCCACCAAAACCTTATAAAATAAGGTTTATACCGGATGAGGGTAGGTACTCATCAAAAATTAGCAGAATGTATTAGGTGGAGTAAAATACTCACGTAAACATTACAAAAAAAATGGGTTGCAAAGACCTTACTTCTATTAGAGGATAGTTCAGTGTTGAGCACCTCAGATGTAAGTACCCATAAGAGTTTAGCAAAATGCGAACTCATACCTGGTGAGGGTAGGTACTCACCAAAACCTTACAAAAACAAGGTTCATACCTAGTGGGGGTAGGTACCCACAAGAGTCCAGTGAAACACAGACTCATACCGGGTGAGGGTAAGTACTCACCAGAGCCTTATAAAGTAAGGCTCAAACCAGATAGGGGTTGGTACCTATCAAAAATATTTATCATCCGGAGGATCAACAAAGAAGTGTCTGAAGGATAACCGGGCAAAAGGGTTAACTCCTTCCCCTACCAACTAATTTTGTCGACATATTAAGCCAACAGATTAGTCAGGCAGGTGAAGGAGGGGCAGCTGTAGACCCCTAATTTTGCCCGGTATCTCAATAAAGGCTAAAGAGACTTCCTACAACAAAGACAAAGCTCGCCTGACATCTCAATAAAGGCCAAGAAGACTTCCTATATGAAGATAAAGCTTTAACGGGCATTTATCGGCATCAAACGACGTCCGAATAAAGAAAGGAAAGCCTCCCAGGGGTCCTAGAACATAAAGGCTGGCCAAAACAGGTCGAGACGGCCGTCCCAAGGTCGAGACGGCCGTCCCAACCTTCCCTGGCCAAGTGGGACGGTCGTCCCAAGTGGGACTGCCAATCCCAGCTTTCAGGTAGTCTCAGCCTTTGTAAAAGAGGCAGTTGGGACGACCGTCCCAACCCAGACGGCCGTCCCAACCCAGTCGGTCGTCCCAACCCAGAAGGCGTCCCAAATGTGCAGGTAGCGAAAAAACTATAAATAGGAGGCTCATTTGCCACTGTTACACACACCAGACAACTCCCAGTACTTGTCTATCCTCTTCCCTCTTCGAATGAACTCTCTGATTGCCTTAATAAGGTAACAATCAGTTAAGGAATCATATTCCAGCATTCGATTCTTCTGTAAAATTGAGTCGAGTCAATCTTGTATTTGGAGAGGAGAGTCTTTGTAGAGCGAAGGATTGCCAAAACGCATCTTCACGATTAAAGATTCGTAATACAAAGCTTGCTACGGAGGTTCTGTTCAAATCTCTTCTCTTTTACTGCTTTATTTATTGCTTTCTGTATGCAATAAGAAATAAAGTCATGTAGATAGCCATTTTTAACATTATGCAATAAAATAGGGTAATCGTGTAATTCCTCATAATCTTCACTTAAATGAATTAATTCGTCATAGGGAACCCGAAAGGGGCGTTGTGGGGTGCTAACACCTTCCCCACACGTAACTAACTCCCTTACCTAACTCTGGTTATAATGGCCAAGTTTGGTTTTTATTAAAATCAATGCCTTTTTATCCTTTTCCAATGTTTACGGTTAAAACATTGGTGGCGACTCCATAAGAACCCCTTTTCAAAAACCTTGCTTTTATTAGAGGATAGTTAAGTTGTTGAGCACCTCGGAAGCAATGAACATAATTTTAACATAAAACGCGAGTCTTAACCATCTTTTCGCGACCGCTCGCTTAAACGTTCGAGATGTCCCTGGACATCGGAACGGACGGCGGCGACAGGACCCAATCAAATACCTGTTTGAAAAACCCGTCTTGACTGGAAGGATAGCCAGGTGGCAGGTACTCCTCTCAGAATTTGACATTGTTCATGTCACTCAGAAAGCTATCAAAGGTAGTCCTTTAGCAGAATATCTGGCACACGGGCCAACTGATGAATATCAATCCCTCCAAGATGATTTTCCAGATGATCACATAATGCATATCCAACATGAAGAACTTGAAAATAACAAGTGGATCATGTTTTTCGATGGAGCTTCAAACCTATTGGGACATGGGATCAGAGCTATTTTAATATCTCCTGAAAAGAAGTATATCCCAGTAACAGCCAGATTAAACTTCGATTGCACAAACAATATGGCAGAATATGAAGCCTGTGCTCTAGGTATTCAAGCAGCTCTGGATCATGGGGTGACTAGACTTAAAGTATTCAGTGACTCATCCCTTGTCATTTACCAGCTCAAGGATGAATGGGAAACTAGAAATTCCAAATTAATCCCTTATCTGGAGCACATCCGTAATATGAATGCAAAAATGGAAAACATCAGTTTCGAATACATCCCTCAGGAAGATAACCAGATTGCAGATGTACTGGCAACATTATCATCCATGTTCGCATTAGGACAAGAACATGAGATGCCCATCATCCAAGTCAAAAGACACAATAAACAAGCCTTTTGTATGATGATGGACAATGAAAAAGATAAAACCCATTGGTATCATGACATAAGGCGATACTTGATAAAGGGTGAATACCCCGAGGGAATCAGTGACAATGACAAAAGGATCATTCGGAAAAGGGCCATAGGGTTTATGTTGATAGGAGAAACCCTTTATAAAAAGAATTTTGATTCCACTTTGTTAAGATGCGTAAATCTTGAAGAAGCACAGAAATTGATTAAAGAAATACATGAAGGAACCTTCGGGACTCATGCACCAGGGCATATCATGGCTAGGAAAATCCTCAGAACAGGATACTTTTGGTCCACAATGGAAAAGGACTGTCATCAGTATGCTAGAAAATGTCACAAATGTCAGGTACATGCGGACAATGTACATGTTCCACCGGTACCACTCAATGTTATGGCTATCCCTTGGCCATTTGCTATGTGGGGCATGGATGTTATCGGACCTATTGAGCCTAAGGCATCCAATGGCCATCGATTCATACTGGTGGCTATCGACTACTTCACTAAGTGGGTAGAAGCTGCATGTTATGCACATGTGACTAAAAAGGTGGTGGTCACCTTCGTTAAGAAAAATATCATATGTCGATATGGCATCCCACATCGTCTTATTACTGATAATGGAACCAACTTGAATAACAAGATGATGGAGGAATTATGTCAAGATTTCAAAATTCAACACCATAATTCCTCTCCCTACTGGCCCAAAATGAATGGCGCAGTGGAAGCAGCCAATAAAAACATCAAGAAAATTGTTCAAAAGATGGTTAAAACCTATAGGGATTGGCATGAAATGTTGCCTTTTGCTCTTCACGGTTATCGAACGTCTATACGAACCTCAACAGGAGCCACTCCATTCTCCCTTGTATATGGAATGGAGGCCGTTTTGCCAGTAGAGGTCAAAATACCTTCCCTTCGAATTATAATGGAAGCAAAATTAACAGAAGCTGAATGGGTTCAAAGTCGATATGATCAATTAAACCTTATCGATGAAAAGCGGCTGAATGCTATATGTCATGGACAAGCCTATCAAAAGAAGATCAAAAAGGCTTATGATAAAAAGGTCAATCCTCATACTTATCAAGAAGGGGATCTAGTAGTAAAGAAACTGCTTCCAGCCCAGAAGGATGAAATTGGAAAATGGATAGCAAATTACGAAGGACCCTTTGTGGTCAAACAAGCTTTCTTAGGAGGGGCACTTATCCTCACTAATATGGATGGAGAGGAACTTCGACACCCGATCAATTCTGATGCGGTGAAGAAGTATTATGCTTGAAGACATTGCTCATGACCCGTCAGGAATGAAAACCCGCAAAGGGCATCCCTAGGCAAAAGATAGGGTCTATATCCCTCGCTAGGATACGTCCTAGGCAAAAAGTAGAGGTAAAAAAAAAAAAAAAAAAAAAAAACTAAGAGCAATGGTTACTTTAGTCGAAAACCGAAAAGGCGGCTAAAGTAACATTCTTCCAGAAGCAAACAGTCTGCATAGTCTTCACTCTGAGCTCAGGCATCTCAATTGAAGCAATCACTAGTGGAAAAATAACATTCTATGACGAGTTTTTATCATGGTCGTAATCCACCCGTCATAGTATGTAGCGTAGTGGCAATTTTGTAATAAAATCATAAACTTTTTATGTCGGGTAATAGGTAACCGACATGGTAAGTGGAAAGTTCACTTTTTATGTCGGGTAAAACTTAATCGACATAGAAAGTTCACTTTGTATGTCGGTTAAGTTTTACCCGACATAGAAAGTGAACTTTCTATGTCGGTTAAAATTTACCCGACATAGAAAGTGTATTTGATGACGGGTGTTAGGACAACTGACATAGTATCTTCTGTTTTACACCTGTTTCGGCGTTCCATTTCATCACTTCACCCATAGCAGAGCTCCCCGTTCTCTCTGTCTCTTCGTGATCGCCTTTGTATGTTTCTCCCCACTGACCTCTCTGCTCGTTACGGTGCATTCTAGAAACATTAACATCAACAGAGTTGGCTCATCACGAGGTAACATGTCAAATATGCCTCTAACTATCCCAGGTTTTCCGCACCCTGATATTAATAACGAGCGCGAGGTCGAGGTCCTGCAGTTTGTTGAGGTTCCCGAGAGAAGTTGGAATGACGCCAACGAGGTTGCATTGGGTAAGCCAGAGAACCTCGAGGTTGGTAAGGTTCCCAAGCTCTGGAGGGATCCGACCCGGGAAGAAGGGGTTGTAAGAGAGGTTGAGCATTTTCAAAGAGGATACATTGCCCAAGGAGGGGGGATGGTGTCTTCTAGAAGATTGGAGACGAGGGAGAGGACTTGGAGGTTCTGGAAGGTTCCGAAGGAGTCCAGGATGGGGCCGGAGAAGTTGTTGCCGGTGAGGTCGAGGTAGCGGAGGTTGGGGAGGAGCGGGAGCGTGGCAGAGAGGAGACCAGTGAGGAGGTTCTGGGAGAGGTCGAAGTAGCGGAGATTGCGGCAGAGGGAGATGTCGAGAGGGAGCGTTTGGTTGATGGAGTTGTTTAAGAGGTTTATGGAAAGGAGGTTGGGGAGACGACAGAGAATGTTGGCGAGGAATGGGCCTCCGATGTTGGTGTCCGACAGGTCCAATGCTGTTACAGTGGTGTTCGAAGCGTCGCCGGCATAGGTCACTCCATACCAGTTGCAAGGGGTGGTGTCCCTTGAGTTCCACGACGAGAGAGACGCGTTTGGGTCGTCGAGAGAGAGCTTGAATTTACTTTCTACGTCGGTTCTTTAGAACCGACGTAGAAAGGCTTACTTTCTATGACCCCTGTATCTATGTCGCCGCTTTAACCGACGTAGAAAGCCCATTTTAACCGATGTAAAAAGCATTTTTTACAGTAGTGAATTAGGAGAACCAGGGGGCAGATATCATAGACATGACTGTATAAGCCTAAACAGTACAACCAACCCTGACCACCCATTCTTCTAAATACCTTTTGAAATCCTTCTATAAAAGAAATAAAACTTTTGCTCATTTATCAATAAAATTCCTTTTCATTTCCTTTCTCTTGACCAAATATTATGGAAATGCCTCTTTATTGATAAATCATAAATATGCGCAAAGACTTTTAATCAAAGATCAAGCATGCATCTAAAAAGAGGAAGCATAAAAATAATACAAGAATAAATGCCTGCTAGGATATTCTTAGGTAAAAATTAGGGTAGCCTGCTAGATCGGAAACCCCAAAAGAACGGTCTAGGAAAAAGATAAGGCAAAATCCCCCTAAGATATTCTAGGCAAAAATTAAGGCAGCCTGCTAGATCGAAAACCCATAAAGGGCGGTCTAGGCAAAAGATAGGGCCAAAACCAAGAGATGAATAAAAGAGGAGCCCATTATCATGGTCATAAAGGAGGAGCCCATCGGCGTATTCATGAGAAGCCAACGGGAGAAGGCCAGTTACTTTCTAAATGCATCAAAAATAAATAAACAATAGATTGCATTTAGGACATACACACACAAAGTAGTTGCACAAAACGACTTTGTCAAAATCAAGAAAAAATAATTTTCTTCAAATAAGAATATTAAACATGCACATAAGGAGGCTAGTCTCCATACTTGTGATTGAAAACAAGAGGCGCCAAAATCCAGCCTCTAAATGAAAATCAAAATCGCGAAAGGTGAAATCAAAACTATTCCAGCAGAATAAAGAGCTTCAAGAAAACCAACTCTAACCTTCCAATCCAAAAAAGAAGGAAGCCATCAACATGAAAAAACCAACGGAAAGGCTTGATCATCCACAAGCGGATCCTTGCCTACTCCAGAGGCAAAACAAAAAGATTACCTCACGACTCAGCTTCATCGCCACATGAGTCATCAAGCAAACTCATCCAGAATCTCCGCCACTTCCCCAAAGGAGAATAAGGACTACACCAAGAATCCATCAAAGAAAATACGGAGACAAATCCTCCATATCACCAGGGGGCAACAAAAAGAAAGAAAAGAAAAACTTTCATTCCCCAATAGAGGCAACAACGAAAAAGGCCAAATAAAAAATCTCCAAGAAGAGTATATCAAGAAAAGTCTACAAAAAGACAAAAAGAAGAAAAATCTCTTCATCCAGCTCAAATAAGAGCTTCACAAGACCAGGAGCCAAGACTCCATCATCAAAATTAGATCCCCGTGAAGTTGACAAACTCCTTGGTGAATCTCCAAAAAGAAAAGAAGAAAATTTCTTCATTCCGCCCAATAAGGAGCTTCACTAAAGTCAGGAGCCAAGACTCCATCATCATAAAAAAAAATCAAATCAAGGATTAGATCCCCCAAGAAAAGAAAAATTCCCCAGGGATCGCTAAAAAGAAAAGAGAAAAAAGATATCTTTTCATCCAAAGAAAAAGCCAATGTGCATAAAAGGCGCACATATAAACCCATTCCCCAGCAGGAATAAGAGCATAGGCAAAGCCAGCTCAAAACAACAACATCCAATAAGGAGTCAAAAACTCCATTCCTCCCAAGGGGGCAATTCAAAATAGATCTCCAGAAAACGATCAAATCCCTGGTGGATCACCAAAAAGAAAATATCCCTAGCAAGCCTACCAGCAAAGGCAAACTACAAATTCATATCCTCAGGGAGTTAATCGCCTATAACACCCAATATGAATATCCCCAGTGAAAGGCAAAACCTTTACTCCCAAAAATGCCTATGCCTACTCAGAGGCAAGCAAAGAGCCGATATCCCCAAGAAATGGGAAATCAACCTATGCAAGAGGCAATACAAGCACAAAGCTTTCAAAAAAATCATCCTCCTACTCAGAGGTATTATCAAGAACAAATATCCTCAAGTAGAACATCAGCCTATTCAGAGGCGAAAAACAACAAGTAAAAAAGCCTTCACCACTATTGAAGCATCTGCCTAATCAAGAGGCACAATCAAAAATCAACAAATCCCTAGTAGATCCCTGCCTAAAATAAGAGGTAATCCAACAAGAATCCCCGGCAAAACCGGATGGCTAAACAGAAAAGCCAAAAATCAGAAATCCCCGGCAAAACCGGATGGCTAAACAGAAAAGCCAAAAATAAAGAATCCCCGGCAAAGCCGGATGGCTAAACGAAAAAGCCAAAAATAAAGAATCCCCGGTAAAATCGGATGACTAACAGAAAAGTCAAAAAGTCAAATCAAATATTCCCCACGGAATGAGCACATGAACAAAAATAATAAGTCGCCAACACATCTCCAAAAACCAGATGAGGGTTTGTACTCATCAATCAAAAGACTGAATACCGAAAAAGTGCATCCTAAAAGCCTTGTAGAACGGGGCTCGTTCAGAACATTGCAGAACGGGGTTCATACCAGGTGGGGGTAGGTACCCACCAGAGCCTTATAGAATAGGGTTCGTACCAGGTGGGGGTAGGTACCCACAAGAGCCTTATAGAATAGGGTTCGTACCAGGTGGGGGTAGGTATCCACAAGAGCCTTATAGAATAGGGTTCGTACCAGGTGGGGGTAGGTACCCACAAGAGCCTTATAGAATAGGGTTCGTACCAGGTGAGGGTAGGTACTCACCAAAGCCTTATAAAATAAGGTTTATACCGGATGAGGGTAGGTACTCATCAGAATCTAGCAAAATGCAGATTCATACCAGGTGGGGGTAGGTACTCACCAAAGCCTTATAAAATAAGGTTTATACCTGATGAGGGTAGGTACTCATCAGAATCTAGCAAAATGCAGATTCGTACCAGGTGGGGGTAGGTACCCACCAGAGCCTTATAAAATAAGGTTTATACCGGATGAGGGTAGGTACTCATCAGAATCTAGCAAAAAATGCAGATTCGTACCAGGTGAGGGTAGGTACCCACCAAAGCCTTATAAAATACCAAAGCCTTATAAAATAAGGTTTATACTAGATGAGGGTAGGTACTCATCAGAATCTAGCAAAATGCAGATTCATACCAGGTGGGGGTAGGTACTCTTCAAAGCCTTATAAAATAAGGTTTATACCTGATGAGGGTAGGTACTCATCAGAATCTAGCAAAACGTAGATTCGTACCAGGTGGGGGTAGGTACCTGCCACAGCCTTATAAAATAAGGTTTGTACCGGATGAGGGTAGGTACTCATCAAAACTTAACAGAATGCATCAGGTGGAGTAAAATACTTGCTTGAGCATTACAAAAATGGGTTACAAATACCTTGCTTCTATTAAAGGATAGTTCAAGTGTTGAACACCTCGAAAGTAAGTACCCACAAGAGTTTAGCAAAATGCGAACTCATACTGGGTGAGGGTAGGTAATCATCAAAGCCTTGCAAAACAAGGTTTATACCTAGTGGGGGTAGGTACTCACAAGAGTCTAGCAAAACACAGACTCGTACCGGGTGAGGGTAAGTACTCACCAGAGCCTTATAAAGTAAGGCTCAAACCAGATAGGGGTTGGTACCTATCAAAAATATTTATAATCCGAAGGATCAGCAAAGAAGCATCCGAAGGATAACCGGGCAAAAGGGTTAACTCCTTCCCCTACCAAGCTAATCTTGTCGGTATGTTAGGTCAAAAAATTAGCTAGGCAGGTGAAGGGGGGCAGCTGTAGACCCTTAATTTTGCCTGGTCTCTCAATAAAGGCTAAAGAGACTTCCTACAACAAGATAAAGCTCACCTGGCATCTCAATAAAGCCCAAGAAGACTTCCTATATGAAGATAAAGCTTTAACGGGCGTTCATCGGCACCAACCGACGTCTGAATAAAGAAAGGAAAGCTTCCCAGGGGTCCCAGAACACAAAAACTGGCCAAAACAGGTCAAGACCATCGTCCCAGAGTCGAGACGGCCGTCCCAACCTTCCCTGGCCAAGTGGGACGGCCGTCCCAAGTGAGACTGCCAGTCCCATCTTTCAGGGGGTCCCAGCCTGTGTAAAAGATGCAGTTGGGACGGTCGTCCCAACCCAGACGGCCGTCCCAACCCAGAGGGGCGTCTCAAATGGTCAGGCAGCGAAAAACTATAAATAGGAGGCTCATTTGCCACTGTTTCACACACCAGACAACTCCCAGTACTTGTCTATCCTCTTCCCTCTTCGAATGAACTCTCTGATTACCTTCATAAGGTAACAATCAGTTAAGGAATCATATTCCAGCATTCGATTCTTCTGTAAAAAGTTAGTCGAGTCGATCTTGTATTCGGAGAGGAGAGTCTTTGTAGAGCGAAGGATTGCCAAAACGCATCCTCACGATTAAAGATTCGCAATATAAAGCTTGCTGTGGAGGTTCTGTTCAATTCTCTTCTCTTTTACTGCTTTATTTTTTGTTTTATGTATGCAATATGAAATAAAGTCATGTAGATAGCCATTTTTTAACATTATGCAATAAAATAGGGTAATCGCATAATTTCTTGGAATCTTTACTTAAATGAATTAATCTGTCATAGGGAACCCGAAAGGGGCATTGTGGAGTGCTAACACCTTCCCCACACGTAACTAACTCCCTTACCTAACTCTGGTTATAATGGCCAAGTTTGGTTTTTATTAAAATCAACACCTTTTTATCCTTTTCCAATGTTTACGGTCAAAACATTGGTGGCGACTCCATAAGAACCCCTTTTCGAAAACCTTGCTTTTATTAGAGGATAGTTAAGTTGTTGAGCACCTCGGAAGCAATGAACATAATTTTAACATAAAACGCGAGTCTAAACCATCTTTTCGCGACCGCTCGCATAAACGTTCTAGATGTCCCAAGACG